AAGCCCGCTTCTCCCTCTCCCACTTCCCCTGCTTGTGTTCCCTCTCTCGCTGTGTCTCCCTCTCTCTGTCAAATAAAATCTCAAAAAAAAAAAAAATCATAAAATCGTAAACAAACAAACCCATAAAACGAGATGGCATCTTACAGCTCTCCCCCCAGGAAAAAGTAAACCATCCTCCCGTGTCGGACAAGGCTGTGGGGAAAGGTACGCTCTACATGGCTGGCAGAAACGTCAACCTGAGCTTCCATTCTGGGTGGCGACTCGTGAATAAACAACAGAGCAATCCCACTTCCAGGAGTGCAGCCGTCGCAAACAGTCACGGACGTGTGCCACCCAAGGAAAGCCGCACTGATTCGGCATCTATCGGTAAAAGGGAGGAGTCCACGGTGCTGGTGTGGTTCCGTAGGACATTTGTGACGGAAAAACGATTACCACATATGACATCGAAAAGGAGCTTATGAGAGTTTTTAGAAATTTAGCACCCACACAGCAAAAGACGGAAGAATATGTATCAAAAGGTCAACAATAACAGCCACTGTTCCCGCTAAGTGGGAGGATTATGGAGAGTTGTACTCTCTGCTTTGCCTAACTATTTGACAACCAACATTTTATAATAAACACTCACATTTTACTCCTTCTAAATGCAGCAGGTCTCAAGGACACAACCTTCTGGAGTAGGAAGAGGTCCCATAAACCAAAGCTCCACTCTCAGGAAAGCGAGGGGCAAGATGGAGACGGACTTTCTTAATGTCACACAGCGGATCAGCCTACACCTGGTTCCCAGTCTGCCTCACGGCTTAGCTCTCCTTCTCTTATTTTCTGGAAGGCCAGAAATCCCACCACTAGAAACGTCCTTGTGGTCAGTTTCACCCATTGCGCCGCCTCGCCTCTGTAAGCTCAGACAGCGGCTCTCCGGGACCCCGCAGGCTCCGCCCGGGGACACGAGGGGCTGGCGCTCAGCAGGCAGCCTGCCACGTCACCCTCAGCACACCCCGAGCTCGTGGAGCTCGCTCCTGCAGGACTCTGGCACCGTCCGCTCCGACCCAATCCAGATGCTCATCCACTGCAGCCCGTGGCTCAATCTGCGAATACTGACTGACCCGAACGACGAGCGCCAGGAGCTATGGGAGCCCCGTGGAAACACAGATCACGGACCCTGGCCCGCGTTACCTGCAAGGAACGTGCAACCTGATGTCCAATACTCACAAAATAGACGGTGTTTTCAGAATTCTGATGCCACCAGGCTGATTGGGAAATACGTCTTCCAAGAAAAAATATATGTGTCCAACTGCAATGCCTAGAGTCGCCCAGAAACAAAGAACGAAGGAGAGGATGAAAATTTTGACTGCAGGTGGATCTGCCAACATAAATTCCATACATTTAGGAAGAAATGTCAATATAATTACTCAGAATTAAAGGATATTGTAATCTTTGAGCCTATAACCACCAAATAATCCCAAGACAGCCATATGTGAGTGCCAGACGTAAAAATCAGTGGCAGAGTAAGTTCACACGCCAAGTAATAGGAACAATAGCAATGAAGACTCTTACCCAGGAGGTCCACAATGATCGAGTTCCCCAGCAACAAGGAGAAGCCCATGAGCACCCAGGGCAGAAAGGGGGCCTGGAAGTTGAGAAGGCCGAAGAAGTTCATGCGCACATATGGGTTCCTTCGGCTCCACACGTAGACGAGCATGATCGTAAAGGCCTGGCCCAGGAAAACTAAGCTCACAAACAAACCAAAAAGCTAGCAGGTAGCGTTAAGGAAAACCTCAACATCACACGTGTAACAGGGAAGGCTGAGCAAGAGAACGAAGGGCTGTGTTCTAACAGAGGTCTGAGGTAGGGAAGTCCCACAGTCATTAATCTTTAGAGGAAAAGAAAGCCTGAAAATAATTACCCAGAGCAACCAGGCAAAAATGTGTGTAGGCCAAAACATCTGGACTACAGCTGCTTCCCAGTAATATTCTGTTTCCATGAAGTTCTCAACTATTCGGAACATATAATAATTCCTTGGTCAATAATTACGTTAAATTTCACTCACCATTAGCACCTTTAAGAGGTGAGTAAAGCCAGCCGGAGCCAAACCATCTTGTCAGACCAGACTACGTTCAAGTCTAAATTATACTAATTTATCAGTTTCGATAGCGACCGAATGTCTCACCAACTTAGTTTAAAAGTACACACACCGAGGGGAACCCGGGGTGGCTCAGTCCGTTAGGTGTCTGACTCGGTTTTGGCTGAGGTCACCCTCCCCCCAACAACAAACTCTAAAACCAACCAACCAACCGTACACGCATGGACAGTCCTCCATCTGAAGTAGTGGCAGTGACCCACCTGTTACTGCTAAACGCCCCTCTGACTCGCCCACCCCGAGGCTCAGACGCAGTCACGGAGCGCAGGCTGGGAAGCGGCCACAGTGCCCACACTGACGGTCAGGAGGGCCGCCCCATCCGTGTGCTGAGCTTATCTAGCGGACTGTGGAAGACAGCTGGAGGCCTTTGGCAAGACAGAGGGTGTTCGTGAGCGTTTTCCCGTTTTTGCTCTATTTGTTGAAGGATACGGTCATTAAGAATCCACCAAAAAGGAACATAAATACAAAGTCTGCTGTCCGACCTCGGAAAGAGCCTTCTTCTAGCATTCGACAGTAGCGGTATCTTAAGTTCCAAGTTAAGAAAATGGTAAGCACACAAGTGGGAAGAAAGTCAAGTTTAACGTATGGCTGCAGTGCACTGGGCTCCGCGTTAGCCGTTCGAAGCCAAGCCTTCGCTTCCGCGAGCGTGTCCACGAGGGGCAGTGTGGGGATGTCCCTTCCACCCGGCGTTTCGGGCGAGGTGAAGACCAGCTCCACACGGTACACACACTGCTCCCGACTGGGGAGCGAAGCCCGAGGCTGCACACACGTGCTTGCAGGGACTCAGGAAACCTTTCCAAGCTGGGTCGTCTTTCCCGGACACAGCCCCACCACGACCTGAGCCACCCTTGTTTTTTCACAGCCCAACTTGGAAGAAACGCCCGGCAAGAAGCCTCGCGTGAGCATCTACTTTTGCAGGCCAGGCAGACTCGGCATTTCTATACCTCAGTTAATAAAGACGCATCATGAGGAAAATATTTCATTATTAGAAACTTACCAGGATGGCGTATCACACAGGACACACAGGAATCCATTGGGCAGGGATCCTGTCACCCCAACAAGGCCCCGTCTCCTGCACACGAGCTGAGCTGTAACTCCCCTCTCAATCCAGAGGGTCACGTAGAAGAGGAATGCCCTGTTCAGGGGGCCCAATTACCACCTGACCAGAGCATCCCTCTTCCCCTTGCAACAAGCAGCAAGTGGCCTGCCAGGCAGACATATGGCATGGTCTTTCCAGCCAGTAGGACCCGCAACCAAGACCCAGGGAGCCCTCACGTTCTCCAGTCCCCAGGAAGCCGATCCCAGTCCTGTGCCGACACTCTGGGACTCATCACCGTATTTGGGTACCTGCTGACGTTATGTTGCAAATATGCCTCAAAGAATCCACTGCTCTCCCTCGATCTGATTTGTAAGGGATTTATGGGCAGTAGTGTACTCATTCTTCGGGTGAATACCTCCCATCAGAACAAACAGGAACCGACAAACACCCTCAAAACAGGACTTTCTGACCAGCTAATCTCTACCACGGACCCAGCACCCAGAAGTCACAGTTAGGAGAGTAACAAAACCAGCAGCATCAGAAGCTTCAACTTACACTGTATTCCCTAAGCAAACCTCCAGGTTTTATGCTAACCCCACTTGATAAAGGATACAGAAAAATCATGTTAAATAAAAAATTGAATCCCACTGGACCAAAAAATAAGAAATTGGTGATTAGCCTCCATATCTGTTAAAAGAAAAAAATCAAGAAAAGACACATTAAGTAAAATATACTAGGAAACATTTCCACATTAAGACAAAAGACATATCCTGGGGTTGCAGTGGTGTGAAAGGCCATGAGTAAGCGACATTATGATCTGAACCAGAAAGTGGGGCGCACGTGATCTGACACTGGATTTCTGTGCTGTTTCCAGTTGGAACTCTGAAAGGTATCACTCGGCCCCTGAAATCTGCAAAGATCATAGGACAGAAAACTTGAAATTGTCGTTGTCTTAAAAAAAAAAAAAAAAAGCCCGGACCATATGGTCAGGCGAATTATGGGAAAAGCTGGATGGGACGACTACGTTAATTCGTAGAACAGAAACCAGGGCTTTCATGTGTCTAGTGTCAGAATCTAACGAGCAGTCTTGAGAGGCCACAGAGAAACTCCAGAGGCCTCACTTAAATTGCCAAGAAATGTTTCTATATTAGTCCCTAAGAAACATCCAGAGGAAAGAGTAATTCTAGAACATTTAAGTTCTAGTCTGAGCGAACAGCCAACTCCCTACAAGTAAAGCTCTAATGCTCTAATAATTAGTCTCATTGGCAGATACCAGGACACTCGTTTTCAAGTTGGAAACCCTGATACACTTTTCCCTACCCAACCCATCCACACCCACAATAAAAACAACTACTCACGATGGGAGAGAACTTCACATTTTAAAATGTTTTAGCACAATCTATAATCTCGTGTGATCCTAATAACCCCGTGAGACACAGGCTGGTGCTCCCATCCCCATGTCACACAGGAGGAAATGGGGACACTTGGAGAGCATGAAAACGGCCTGCCCAAGGGAACTTGTACGGGGAGACTCTGAATCCAGGCCTGGAAATCCCGGCTCCAAATGCGGATACATGGTGTCATCAAGAGTTTAACCCCAGGCAAAACCGAGCCAAGCATGTTAACAGGAAGCAATGCTTGGATGGAGCTACAGTGCCCAGCAAAGGCCAGGTGAGCAGTGAAGGACGAAGGCAGTGACAAGAGTCCACAGGACTGCCTTGTGCATCATTCAATTCTTCAGAATTGGAAACAAAGGTGAAATAATTCAGTTCTACATACTAACTGCCTCCAGGATTTGAGAGTCCCCAACTTATCGAGGAGACAAACATCTAATTAAGTGCAAGTACAAAGCGAGAGATGCTCTAAAGGAAGTATTTACAGATACCCTGGGGACACAGAGGAGGGTGAATCTGAGAAGCTACACAAAAGCTGGAGCTCAGTGGGTGTAAAGTGAATGACACACATTCGACAGAGGAAAATTACTGACTCTTGGTCCTTCTCCCCCTCCAACTGCAGATTATCTGATCATCCTGGAGCAGGAAAACGCTTTCTTTGAGCATTCTAATTACTGGAAAGGACTAACTCCTACTAGAATCTAATAAACTGGCATGTTGTTTAAGGAGTCAGTCTTTTGGACTTTTGTTAATACCATCTGATCCCTGGAAGACGGATCAATCTAAAAGCACTAACAGAGTCGAGTTTCTGAACTGGACGGTGGTGATAACACCGATGTGTTATGTGGACAACATAGGGCATCCTCTGAGGCTCTCCCTGGGCTGTTCAGTCTCCTCTCCAACTACAATATTAACTCTGAGCCAGTAATTTCTACATACAGGAACTGGACACATCAAATTAAAACCATGCAGGGAACTTTACCAATAAAATACAGATTCTTAATTCCTACCCTTGGTTGACTGCGGTTTTGGTACATGATGAGGAACCTGAGAATCTCTTCAAAGTTCCCTAGGTGATTCTGAAGCCCAATCAGGATGCAGAATCACATCTTTATTACCACCCTCCCCGCCCCCCCCACAATGAGACAATCAAATATTCCCATTGAATTCTTTTTTGATAACACATGGAAGGATCTGCTACCAAAAAGTATGAAAAACAAGTTTAACAACTGAAACATGAGCTGTGCTTGTGATGGACCACTTACTTGAAAGTGTTTAAAGATTAATTCAGGATTGAAGTACAACTGAAAAGGTGTGATCAATTCCAACTGCTGAAAAAGAAAAGAGCTTCTTAAAGCAAATCGACCAACAAACAAAACATCATCTACAACAAAAGATCAGTAGGTCTAGCAGCTTCCAACTCTCAGTCACTCTGGCTGAATCCTTTAAGGCTTTTCTTCTTAGGCGCGTGGAAAAGGTCGGTAAAGGATTCTGCAGAAATCGTACAATCTTCTGTACCCCTTATGCCTGACACCAAGATAAAACTTTGTTCTATGCTGCGGTAGCTGATGCTGACCTGAAGGCAAGGGGGGCAGGTGCTGCTATCCTAGATCCAGGGCAAGGAGAAGCGGCGGCCACGCATCTGCCCACCGCCCGGCCCCCGCCTCAAACAGCTGTGCGAAGCGACCCAGCTCCCCCGAGAACCGAGACTGAAGACGCCGCCGCCGGCAGGGCTGGGCGCTTCCAGGCAGTCTCTGTACCCGGACTCTCTTCCCTGCCGGAAACTTCCCCACTGAGCGGACCTTCTCCCCACCAGTCACCACCGTACCACCTGCCCAGCGCCTGCCTTCTCAGACACGTCTTCTGGGTGGGCGGCTCCCGCAGCGCCGAGCTGCTGCGGGTCCGGCCTTCCGCTCTCGGAAACCAGCCCGCAGCCCTGGCCCTCCAGCCCTCACGGGCAGCACTCCCTTCTCGGCTCACTGGATAGGCCGCCCTGGACCCCAGCGTGAGCCCCGTACGCCTCCACCCACCCCGGAGGCCAAGCCCTCTGGGCTTCCCCGAGGCCCCGGTGGGGCGCAGCGCGGACAGAGAGGCTGGCGCTGCAGCTGCTCACCACGGCGGCGGTGGTGAGGACGCAGGCGGTGGTGTAGGCGCGGCTGACCGGCGGGATCTGCAGGTACTCCAGCCGGAGGCTCTGGTACGCCATCTTCCCACCGCCGCCTGCCCCCCCACTTCCCCTTCCGCCAGTCAACCCCGTCGGCGGGGCGGGACCAAGGCGGGCTGCCGCCCAATCAGCGCCGCGCACCCGGCCAGCCGCCAATCGCCAGAGCCGCAGGGAAAGCGCGCCGGCCAATCACGAGTTGCGCCTCCGCGGGGCCCGGCCCGGCCGCCCCACCCACCAGCCCACCAACGTCGGGGAGAGGCGTGTAAGTCCCGGGTCCCTCCGCCAATCCCCGCCGGCCACAGCTGGCCTTTCCCGCCCGGCCCCTCGGTGTCTGCGAGCGAGGCGGCCCCGCGCAGCCAGCCAATCAGGAGCACGACGGCGTCCCGCCCCGGCCGGCGTTCGCTGAGGCCGGCATCGCTCGGCGTCCGGGAGCGGGCGGCGCCGCCTCTCCGCAGCGGCAGGCGGTGGTTAAAGGCGGTGGCGGGAGGCCGGTGCGTGGCCGGTTTCGTCGCCCTCGCACCCGCTCGGGTAAGGGCCGCGGGGCTGCATCTCCTCCTCCGAGCAGCGGGGAGGAGAGGGTCTGCGCTCGGCACCCTCGCCGGGCGCCC